TTCTACCTATTTCTATCAAAAAACCACTTTTACCCCTTACTTTTTCAAACCCTACCTATCACATCATACCTTTTTCTTAATAATCTATATATCACATCCTACTTTTACCCATCACATCAAGGGTATTTTTGAAAAGTCAACACAAAATTATCCCTCCCTTAATTTCAACTTTAGTCAAAATGTGTAAATCTTTTTGGGACGGAGGGAGTATAAGTTTAATATAAATGGATTCATCTTAAGATCTACTACTTTGATATATCAAATTTTAATAACATTTCTTTATTTAGATTATACTCTGTATTTAATTTATGGTCAAGCGTGTAACTATTTGACCAAAAATACATCAAAATAAATAACGTTTTGTGGAACGGAGAGTAAAAAATTAATAAATATTTATATAAATTTAATTTTATTAGATTTATCTGATCGAAAATATTCTAAACTAATTTCATTATATATATGTTGTACTCCCTCCGTCCCTAAATAAAGTTCCATTTTTGACTTTTTGAATATTTAAGGAAGGGATATTTTGGTGTTGACTTTCCAAAAATACCCTTGATGTGATGTGTTAAAGTAAGATGTGATAGATAGATTATTAGTAAAAAGGTATGATGTCATAGGTAGGATATGAAAAAGTAAGGGGTAAAAGGGGTTTTTTAAGGGAAAAGAGAAGTTTATTTAGGGACAAAGAAAAAACGAAAGTGGAACTTTATTTAGGGACGGAGGGAGTACAAATTAAAAGTAATTTGATTCAAATCCGTTCAATTAATTTCATCATATATGTCATACAAATTAAAAATAATTTGATGTTGGGTAGTATAAATTAGGTACTCCCCAAGACCCCAACTACCAAAAGCATCTCAAGAATTGAACTAGGAAACGGAACAAATAATCACCGCCGGCAAAGAGGTCTCGCCGGACCATCCGCTCCAAGCGGCTAAGGTTCCGCGGAAGAAGATCGCTGTAGTACAATAGCGTTGTCATTGTGGCCGCCGGCTGCCTCGCCATCGCCGCCATTGTTCTCGCCGCCGACACAAACATCACCGCCACCAGACACTGCGCGGGGCAAGCAATTTAATAATTACCACATTATAGAACAGTATAAATGTATAATGCTGTATCTATTACTGCATTTAATATATATTAACTCCGTAATATAATTATAAAAAATTACATGAAAAGAATATAAAAAATTCATACCATGATTTGAATAACAAGATGGAATTGAAGCAATTGATGTGATTCGGAGCAGCTGATGCTTAATTATTGAATAAAAAATCAGAGGAATAATGGGTACTGTAAATAAATAAACTGTTTAATTAAGATGAAAAACATTGGGCGTACCGGCGTACATATTTTACATTTTAGGTTATTTATCATTTATTCCATAATATGATTTCACTTGTTCACCAAGAAACTAATCTCGCATGTTATTTTTTATTCTATACGCAGTATATTATTCAACCATGCTACACTTACCTAAAAAAATACCCCAAAATTACACCAAAAATATATGATCCTGTTTGGGATTATCGCTAGCATTTTAGATAAATTTTAACGAGGCAAATTATTTTGAAAACGCTAACGCTAAACGTTGCCCGTAAATAGCATTTTCAAAACGCTAACACTAATCTCTAACGTTATTCCCAAACAGACCCAAATACTAACATTTTGATAGTTCACATTGCCAAAAAATGATAGTGCAATTAAAAAATTGGAACTAATATTTTGTTTATGTATGAATCATCACCTTAGCATCACACTGACAAAAAATAAAAATACATACTGGTGGTTTACAATTAGGGATACAAATTTTTGAGTACAAGTCGCTTAATCCTATTTTATTATTTACCCTCTTGGAGTCTTGGTCGTATAAAATGTTTGTAAAATTTGCATTAAATAGGACTAAAACATAATGACTTTCCTAATATAAGACTTAAACTTTTTTATTCCTTACATAGGACTTAATAATGACCTAGTGAAAAGAATAATGTCCAGTAATGATGAACATTTAGTTGAATAATGACTACTTGATAATGACCAAAGGTCCTACATTAGGAAATAAAAACATATGGTCCTATATTGAGAAAGTCATTATGTTTTAGTCCTATTTAGGTAAATTTCTCAAAATGTTTTTATATTTCATTTTTGTCCATCTAATAAAAAGTCGCACTTTAAAATTTAAGATAATATTATATGCCTCCTTTTCTCTCATATGTGCAATACATTCAACTACACAATTTTATTTTTTTTATTGTATATATATTGCCAAACGGAACATTTTTGTTGCAGGATAGAGTAAGTATAATTTAATTGTTGAGATCAGAGTTTGTATACTATCGGTTTTAATTTAAACTCTAGACTATTCCTTATCAGATTTCAACAAGGCTCTGTTTCGTATACGGAATTCAAGTCATGAAATTAAAATTGAAGACTTAATTCCAATATAATCCTGATGTTTAGTAAAATAAAAATATGTAGATTTGAAACTGGTGGTGCAAAAACTGAAATAAAATTGGAGAACTCAATTCCATCTAATTCAATTTTATAAAATTCCAATTTCAATTCAATTCTAATATAGTCAATTTCATATACCAAATAGACCCTAATAGGTTTTAGATTTTAATTAAGTGACAAATTTAGAGAATATTATAAAGTTTAGATTACTTGGATGGATAGATGTTGGGACAGTGGGGTTGTAAATTAGGGTGATTAGTAAAATATAGAATTGTGGAAACGACATTTTGGCACGTTTAAATTAATAAATAAATAAAATGAAATAATTAAATACGGAGTATTTGCTATGAAAAATAAACATGGGTACCATATAGGAAACGAAAGTGAACTAATGGTTGTCCCTAATTAAATAATCTTCTCATTTACTATTTACAACGTCAAATTATACTACCTCCATCTCATTCTATTTATCCAGATAATTTTTTGCAGTCAAAATGGATAAACTCTAATCATAAATTTAAAAAATTATATTAGATATTGATACAAGAGATATTTTAATAGATTTATTTTAAATAATATTTACAAAATAGTATTTTATCTAATTAATATACATTGTAATTTTTATTCAATTAATTGATTTCGATTGATTGTAAAAAATCAAAATTTAACACATAAGCTGGGACGGAATGAATATTCTTTTTCTTTGTCTATATTTATTGATTTTTTAAAGACATTCCTAAAGTGGAATTTTGTTTCGCAAATACGGAGTAATATAAATATCTTGTGAATATTTTGTTTCAAAATAAAAGCTTGTGATATTTTATTTTTTTTCGTATTTATGGTTTATATCGGTTGTATTAATTATTTCCTTCCAAGTAGTGGTTTTCTTTTAGAACTCTCAATCTATTGAGATTCTTTTCGATGTAAATAAGACATTTAGAAAAGAATGGGTTCTGCCCAGGTTAATTTCATTCTCACTTCTTTGAAATTCTTAAGGAGTCGTCTCAAATTAAATAAAATTGAAGTCTTTGCAAAGATAAAAAATAAAAAAATCAAAGGTTAAAAACATTAATAATCCCTGTTATTATAATGAGAAATCTAATAGATGACACTTCATGTTTCCTATTGTATCATGCATCGTTTTCTTTCATATCATCATCATATCACATTTTATAAATTTTATGCTTTTGTGCTAGAACTAGAGGTGTATACATACGCCAATTCACCGACTTAACGCAACTATTTTCAAATAATTAAATACATTAATAATATAAATTAATTTGAAATATAATTTTTAACTTATTAACTTTAACTATTACTCCGTAATATAATTTTAATTAGATATTTTTAAAAATAATTACTCTTATAATACATAAAATAATATAAAATGTACTCCGTAAATATTTAATTAAGACAACATTTCATTGATTTACATGAACCTACACAAAACTAAATAAAAAATACCAACACATAATTTAAAAAACATAAAAACACCCCCATTTAAAATTTGGTTTAACTATATTTTTTTATAAAACAAAAAAGGTAACAAATCAGAATGCTAGATGTTTTATAATAAAATCATAAAGAAGTATTGGCGTATTGCTTCAACATCGAGTATCCTCGACAAACACATAGTTTCTCATACCGAGTTTTTTTTTTTTTTTGTATAAAAAATGGATGGATGGTACGGTGTTACCATCTTTGGCAATTATGGCAAAGAGAGATGCCACAAAAACCTTTTTTTGTACCAATTTGGTTTTATTGTGTCCATACGTTAACCCTAATGGTTTATTTGGATTAGATATTATGTTTTCTAGTCTTCCTTTTTTTTTACGACATACTCCCTCCGTTTTTTAAAACGGTTCCTGTTTTAACTTTGGGGAAAAATAAGGAAAATGTAATTTTAGTTGACTTTCCAATTTTGTCCCTGATATGATGGGTAAAAGTAAGATGTGATGATTTAGTTATTGGTGAAAAAATATGATGTGATAGATAGAGTATGAAAAAGTAGGGGTAAAAGTGGTTTTTTAATAGAAAAGAAAAGTGTTTTAAGAAAAACAAAAAAATGAAAGAGGAAGGATTTTAAACTTTTAAGAAACGGATGGAGTAATTTTCACAACCAAACAATGAGTTAAACTCAAACAATGACTCTTACCATCAAATATTGTCAATTTACACCCATTGCAAAATTTGTTAGTTACCATAGTACTCTCCCATCCTTAAAACAAATTTATCATTTCTTTTTGTATTTGTTCCAAAAAAAAAGTTTAACATTTTTTTAGAGATAAAAAAATTATGATTCTTATAATAATTTTTTTTCTCTAAGATAATTAGAAGTCAACAAATAGAGTGTTGATTTAACTTTTTCCAAATCCAATTAAGGGTCAATTATGCATATTGACTGAACGTTATCTCTATGACTCTGCGCCAGTTTGAGAATAACGTTCGATTAGCGTTGCTGTTTTTGATAAAATTGAAACGACGCAAATTAAATTCGAAAACGCTAACGTTAAATACTACTCGTAGATAATTTTTTTCCAAAACGCTAATGCTAATTGTTATTCCCAGAGAGTCCCTCTATCAATTGAGCTCGAAATGTGCAACAGAACAAAAATCCTTAAGTTCTGTCATATGAAAAATATTCTCTAAAGCAAGGAGCACTAGGCATTGGAAAGGAAAAAATGTTCTATAAGCTTTAAAAAAAGGAGAAAGACATTAACGGGAATGATAAGGGTTTAATCAACGACGGCGAGCTTCTGATACTCTTCGCCGGAGATGGCGGACCGCATGACCTCCACAGGGTCGATAATCCCGTCTCCCTCGAAGAACATCTTCAACAGATTCTTTGAAAACCCACTCACCAGAGCCACTCCCTTCTGGCTCCCCGGCACCGGCGTGGCCATCGAGTCCCTCAGGTTCCAGAACACAATCTCCGGCAGCGTCTTCCCGAACCCCTTCTTCCTGAACTTCCTCTTTATCTTCTTGTAATCCGTTTCCCAGGCTTCGCCGGACTCTGATGAGGCCTGGTCGAATTCCATGTCGCTGAACACGAACAGCCTCTTGATCATCTGCTCCCGCTTCAGCTTCCCCTCCACCGCCACCTTCAGGATCAGATCAAACACCTTCTGGAAGTCCGTGTTCATCCCCCACTCCATCCTCGTCACGAAGCTCGTCTTCTCCCTGAGAGAATCCCCTTTGATCATCTGGAGTTTCGGGTTGTTGCTGAATGTGATCAGCTTCCCCTTCCACGGATCCTCGCTCAGCTCCGAAACGAGAAGGCCCAACGCCACCAAAACTTCCATCGGAGTTCCCCTCATGCTTCCCGAGACGTCGCAGATCGCCATACAGTTCCTCAGCTTCCCTCTCTGGCGAAGATCGTCCACCATTCTCTTCCACTGCAGCTCTGCTACTTCTCCTTCGTCGTCATCTCCGTCGTCCAATGCCTGGATTATCTCGTGCGGTAACAGAGCGCCGGCGGCGATTTTGGCTTCCCCCTTTTCCACGGACTCCAGGTAGCCTTGGAATCGTTCCCCATCGTGCTTGAAAAACTTGTTCTTGTAGAAGTTCATGGCGACAGAGGCGACTCTGTTGTAGGGTATGGAGTCCCAGCGGTTGGCTCCGATGTAGGTTTCCGGCAATTCTAGAACCTTCCGGAGAGGAACAAGGACTTCCTTCCGGAGACGGTCCCGGACTCTGTAGATGTAATGAGCTTCTTCGATTCCTTCGTATTCTGGATGGGACATTCTGGGGAACACCTTCTGTGCAATGGCTTCGCATAACAGAGTCGACCGGTCAAAGGACCGGTCGATCGACGGGCACCATTTTGCGGCGAGGCTGATCTTGTGTGCCTCGCCGGCGTTCAATCTCTCCAGATCGGCTCTGAGAGCTTCCCCGAAGAAATCGGAGATCCGGTCATAGAGATACCGGAAATCTCCGTCCCCGTTGTATTTATCGATCAGCTTCTTCGCCATGAGAAGTTTCCTCTCTTCTTTGGGCAGGGAGGGAACCATGTACATAACTTTCTTCTTGTTAACTGTGCCCTTACATTTCCACTCAGAACTCTTTACGAGCGCCAGAAGCTTTCTCTTATCCCATTCCGTCTTCTGTTGGGCCCTAACGTCTGGGCCCTCGAGGAGATATTGGAGGCCAGGGTTTTGGGGTGGTGGCGGTGGAGCCAAATCGCCGCCGCGTAAAACCCCTGCTTGTCGGATTTCCCGGTGCCGCGGACGCCTCGGAGGTTGAAGACGAGTTTGAGCGCCGTCAGAGGGTCGTGTTCCCACGCGGCGGAAAGCCGCGCTTCGAGGGATCCCGACGGGGTGTCGGGGACGACGTGGAAGAAGAAATCGAGGCAGGGGTCGCCGGACGAGAGATAGGTCGCGGCCATGTTCTCGGTGAAGCCCATGGGGGGATTGAAGACCCTGGGGCGGCGTTCCTGAACTCCGGCGGATGGGGGTGGCTTGGTGTTTGTTTCAGGAGGCGGTGACGGTGGTGGGGCGGCGTTTCTGAGCTCCGGCGGCCCGAGTAGACCCATCTCGATAAGGTTTATAAAATTGCGAGAGAGTGTTTGTTTTGATTTGAGTGAAGACTGGAAAATTGCGAGAGAGAGAACATATCGGGTGAAGACGGGCTGTTTTTAATAGGGAAAGACTTCTTGACGCCCAAGGAACAAATACTCTCTGAAAACCTAAATCGTGTAAAAGCTGCAAAAAAATAGAGGAGGATATTTCCGCCTCTAATTAGCTGCAGAGCAGAGGGGGAATATTCACCCTCTGTTTTAAATTTTTATTAGTGGGTAACATTTCCGCCTCTAGTTTCGTAACTAATTGAAATAAATTTTAATTTTATTATCGGGAGATTAAAGTTAAATAAAAAATAGCGGGAGAAATAAAAATTTAAATTTTTTTTTAAAAAATATTCGAATTAGAGGCGGAATAGTCCCCCCACTAGTATCAAACACAAAAGAGTCGGACTTATCCCTCGCTAAATCCGTAAATTTACAATAAAAAAAGATGGAACTAGAATAAGGGTAATATTTCCCCCTCTAATTCAAAAATAAAAATAGTGTGGAGTGACCCCAGCCGCATGTTTGGAGTGACCCCTTATCCCATTAAGGAAAAAAAAGCCTCTCTTCTTCTGTTTCTCCCTCAAAGCAGCCGAGGAGTGACCCCAGCCGCATGTGAGAAGCCGCTGAAGTGAGAAGCCGTCACCCCTGCGTCGCCGACCGCCGTCACCTGCTCTCTTCTCCGCCGTCTAGCAAGCCGACGCTCAGCCTCCCCTCCAATTTCTAGGTTTTAACTCATCTTGAAATTACTCTAATTGTTCAATTGTGTGAATTTCTTTTCTTGTCTCTTGAAAATTCTCTAAATTCTTCAATTATGTGAGTGAGAATATTCTAATTGTCCAATTGTATGGAATTTTATGTTTTACTTTTGTTACCCCAATTTGATTTTTTGATTTTATATTTGTTGGTATATTTTTATTCTAATTGTTCAATTATGTGGAATTCTTTTTGTAAATCAGTTTTAATGATGATTTTTTTAAACTAAAAAAATGAAAGAATCAAATTTTATTGTGTCTTGGTTTTTGTTCCCACCTACCAGTTTTAAAGTAGGTTTGATTGTACAAGTCCGGAGAGTTTTTTTAAAGTTGTAGTTTTGAAACAACAAAATATTGTCATGCTTAGG